CCAACTAAGCCATATACCCAGCCCCAGGATTTTCTTTTTAAAGGCTAAACAATATTCCATTTTGTTTACTCATTCATCTGCTGATGGAAACTAAAGTTGCTTCTACCTCTTGGCTATTGTGAACATAATGAACATATGTGTCTCTTGGAGACATTGCTTTAAGAACATATTTTCTTTAGGACATATTCCCAGAAGTGGGATTGCTAAATCATCTGGCAGGTCTATTTTTAATCTCTTGAAGAACCTCCATACTCTTTTGCATAATGGCTGTACTTAACATCTACACCAACACAGCTTATTCCAACTTTTTTGCATCTTTTAAAGAGTTTTCACTTACATGGTGTGTGTGTGTGTGTGTGTGTGTGTGTGTGTGTGTGTATGCGCTCATGCTCACATGAGTGCTCTTGGGAGTCAGAAGAGGGCAGTGGATCCTCTGGAGCTGGAGTTACAGGCAGTTGTGAGCTACCCAGTGTGGGTTAGAAACTGTGGGTCCTCTCCAAGAGCATCAAGTGCCCTTAACCACTGAACCATCTCTTCAGCCCCTTCCCTGCATTCTTGCGCAAGAATAACACCAGGCACTTCCTTTTTGAGAGTGGCTGTCCTAACACATGTCAGGTGACATCTCCTGGTGTCTTATGGGCAATGACGATGGGCATCTTATTATATGTATTCTTTACAGTTTTCTATGCAAGTCCTTTCCCAATTTTTAATTTTAATGATCAAATTTCTTTTTTCTTTTTCTTTTGTGGTTTTTTAAGACAAAGTTTCTCTGTATAACAGTCCTGGCTGTCATGGCATCTGCTTTGTAGACCAGGCTGGCCTCAAACTCATAGAGATCCTCTGGCCTCTGCCTCCTGAGTGCTGGGATTAAAGGCGTGTGCTGCCACTGCACTGTCCAGCCAATAATCAAATATCTTACACAGTCTGAATGTTGACCCTGTATCACATATATGTTGTAAATATTTTCTCCTTTCACACAAGAACATTTTAAAATTTGATATGGTCCCATGTGTCCATTTTTTTATTTTGCTACTTATGTTTTTGGTGTCATACCCAAGAAATAATTATCAAATCCCAAGTCCAAACATTTCCCCCACATTTTCTCCTGAGATTTTTTATATATATATATATAGCTTTCATCTTACATTTGGGGATTTTACCCATTTGGGACCATGTTTGTATATGATGTGAGGTCCAACTTCATTCTCTTGCATATGGACATCCAGTCTTATCAACATGCTTTGATAATACTCTGATCTCAACAATGTATTGCTTCCCCAACCATCAAAGGACTCTAGATAGCCATACTAACCAGTGCTGCTGGTCCAGTACGTTTGAGAATGCACAGAATAGGGAGGACTCAGGTGAGCAGATGGAGCAGGGTCTCAGCTGGCCTGCACTCAATATAGGGTGTGGGTGTTCACCATGCTGTTTTCCTTGCAGACTTCAGATGTTTTTGATTTTTGTTTTTTTTCCCCTAGACAAGGTTTCACTGTGTAGCCCTGGCTTCATGGATCTAGCTTTGTAGACCAGGCTGGCCTTGAACTCAGAAATCTGCCTGCCTCTGCCTCCTGAGTGCTGGGATTAAAGGCATGCGCCACCATCACCTGACAACTTGCCATGTTTTAACATTTGAAGTTTTGCTCATTTCTCTGGGTTGGCCAGAGACAGAGAGGAATACGGTTGCCGGGAACATGCCACCCAGTTCAGGGCGACCCACTTCCTTTATTGTGCACTCAGAGGCATCCTCCTGCCTTATACCAAGGTTAGGTCTAGACAGGTAGGGGTGGTCTCTGTGGCCCCAACAGCTTGAAATGACTGTGCCTAACCACTCTGAAGCCTGCCCTTTCTGTGTACTAACACATGTAAATTGCCCATTTTACATACTTTCTCCTCTCTGATGTGTCATCCCACATGGCCTCCAAGTGTGATGCAAGTATGTATCCTCCAATGCCATCTGTGAGCACAGCCATCTGCTCAGTGGCAGCCACTGCTGGTGTGGCGGTCCTTACACAGCTGTTACTCCAGCATCCCATGAACACTGGCCTGTCGTTACAGGAAGATGAGGTCACATCGATGTGGTGACTGTTCCAATGCAGGGCACATCCGAAAGAATCCCTGAGCACTGGCCACAGCGGCTAATGCTCCCATCCTCATGGTTCTATCAGACTATCAGGACATCTGTCAGGCAGCCTCTTAGACCCAATGGGTAGAGCTACATCCCTGGAGAAGTAAGTACAAGTTAGATTTCTGCAGCAGCCAGTGTGAGGAAAGGCCCAGGAACAGGTGGTCAGCTTCAGCAGTGACACACTTCCTCCAACAAGACCACACCTGCTCCAACAAAGCCACATCTCCTAATAGTGCCACTTCCATTGGGGGGCCATTTTCTTCCAAACCAGCCCAGCCCAGGAGCAGGCCTGTGGCAGGCGACCAGCCTCAGCAGAGCTTGAGCACATGGCAGGTGTGTGAGAACGTTTGTTTTGCTTTTGACACTCGAGAAAGGAACTGTTTCAGTAACAGTCAAGGGTTGCCCAAGCCAGGCTCCGCTTGCATCAGTGCTGGGACTGAAGGGGATGTAATGACAGGTCATTTTGACAGCAGATCATTTAACTGCAGGATGTGAGTGACTGGGACATACACCCCATCTGGGTAACTCACATGAGGTGGTTACTAAAAGGGACACAGAAGTACAGGGTACAAAGCAAGGCCAAGGGGAGTGTCAGTCCGGGAGGTGGGCTGCCCAGATCTGCTGGGGTACAGTGTGGCTTTTATGTTGTTGAGGCTGGTGCCTTCCAGAGCTGGGACTGCCGAGTGAGTCAGAAAAACCACCTGTTCCAGTCTCCAGCTGGTCACAGAACGCGAGTGTGTGTTTCCTCATCTGCACAGGGGGATGGTTTCCAACTTCTCTTTCCTGAAAAAGAGGCCTCTAAAGGTCATGGGAATTCAGCAGGGGACAAAGAGGGCCCCGAGCAACAAGATCCCAGCCTCTACACCTTTCTGCTTGCTGGGAACCTTATCATGGATGTGTTATGCCCAGATTGTGACCCCCCAAAGAGACCACCGTAGACCTTGGATGCCCAGAATGCAACAGCAAGGTTTATTCTGCAGATACAAGTCTAGACAGGGACTCATTCCTACACCTAATACAGTGAGGCAGGGAGGAGTGCCTCTTTCTTGGGGAAGTTAGTTTTTATAGGCAAAACCCATAAAATTTCTTAGAGGGGAGGGGATTAGTACGGGTCCATCCTTGATTGGTCAAGTTTTTCCCGGGCCTGGACTTTATCTTATTTTATCTTATCTGTTTGCCCTGTCAGGAGTTTTACAACTCATCTCTAGGGTCTGGTCTTGTTATCTCTGGAGAGGGGCATCTCGTGGTTAATTGGTTACCATCAGACATCC